AATTATGCGAGGAACCTATTCTACAATACCCAAATTTCTCTGAAATTTTTAATTTAACTACTGATGCTAGTAATTACGCAATAGGAAGCGTTTTATCTCAAGGCTCAAAGTCGGAAGATTTGCCTATAGCTTATGCTAGTAGAATCTTGAATAAAAGTGAAATTAATTATTCGACTACTGAAAAGGAATTGTTGGCAATCGTATGGTCTGTAAAACATTTTAGACCATACCTGTATGGACGGAAATTTAGAATAATAACAGATCACAAACCTTTAACTTGGCTAATGAATGTTAAAGATCCTGGATCTAGATTAGTTAGATGGAGACTTCTATTAGAGGAATATGATTATGAAATATATTATAAACAAGGTAAGTTGAATCAAAATGCCGATGCTTTAAGTAGAATAAAACCAGAAAACACAGAATCAGAAGAAGTTATTAAAATTCACAGTGTTACAAAAAATGGGGAAAGTTATTCATCATTTTTAAAAGAAATGGAAAGAAAACCTATTCTATATAACAAACTCAACGAACATAACGATAAGCTTCCAAATAACGGAAATAGTATTGTATTTACATCAACTGATTTAGAAATTGAGAATGATAAGAAGTTGTTAGAATACGAAACTTATATAAAGGAATTAAAATCAAAGAAACCAGTTCAATATGAAGTTTTAAGTATACAAAATAATGGAAGTAAAGTATATTTTACCTTCCCAAAGCTGAACTATTGGGATAATGTAACATATGAAGACATATTTGAATGTTTTAAGAATCTAAAACATGCATTAGTACAAGAAAAAGTTAAAGAAATTAATTTAACTAGTTTTTGTAATTTTCATCTTAAATGGCATAAAGTTAGAACCATAATTAGGTATATATTTAAAGATACGGAAATATCAATCAACATTTTTCATGGGAGAGTTCAAATGATAAAAAGGGAGGATATACCATCTATTTTAGAAGAAAATCATTCAAATGTTATGTCAGGGCATACAGGCTTTCATAAAACTTATAAGAAAATTAAAGCCAACTATCAATGGGACACAATGAAAAAAGATATTAAAGATTTTATTAAGAAATGTGAATCTTGTCAAAAGAATAAAATAAATAGGAAAAAATATATAAAGCCTATGGAAATTACCTCAACTTCTACAAACGCATTTCAAAAAATAGCTCTAGACATTGTAGGTCCATTACCCTTATCAGAAGACGGAAATAAATACATTTTAACATTGCAGGATGACTTGACAAAATACACTCAGGCATATCCATTGCCTAAACATGATTCTGAAACGATTGCAGATTGTTTTGTTCGTAATTTTATATGTAAATTTGGAATACCAGAGATATTATTAACTGATCAAGGGGCAGATTTTACTTCTAATTTAATAAAAGAAATTGCGAAATTATTTAAAATAAAAAAAATAAATACTAGTGCGTATCATCCACAATCCAATGGAGCATTAGAACGTAGTCACTCGACATTAGCAGATTATCTAAAACATTACGTTAATGAAGATCAAACTAATTGGGACAAATGGGTAGATTTTGCTATGTTTTCATATAATACAAGCGTTCATACCTCAACCCAGTTTACACCATTTGAGTTAATATTCGGTTTCCAAGCAAACTTACCTAGTTCAATTATTAAAGAACCTGAATTTAAATATTTTTACGATACATATTTAGACGAACTTATATTAAAACTACGAAAGTCAAGAGAAATAGCTAGAAATAAATTGATATATTCAAAAGAATATAATAAGCAAATTTATGATAAGAAATGTAAAAATGTAGAATTTAAAGTAGGAGATAGAGTATATTTAAGTAACGAGGCAGTTAAGATAGGAAAATCACGGAAGTTATCGCCGTATTGGTTAGGACCTTATAAAGTAATTGAAGTTAATTCATCAACCAATGTAACGATTAAAGTTAAGAATAAAAAGTTAAAAGTTCATTCCAATAGATTGAAACATGCATTTGTTTCAGAATGAACCTGGTTCGTGCTATAATATTCCTGACATGGATAAAGTACGTAACAACTAGTGATAGTTCTTTTAGTATTAGTATAATAGATAAAGGTGGCATTTATTTTGAAAATTTAGGAAAAGTTAATTATTTTGACAGCGAATGGAATTTAGTAACATACCTTAATATAGCTGATATTCATAGGAAAATAAATTTGGTTCAAAATACGTATATTAAGACTAAAGATCTTTGCAATCATGAATCATTTAATAAGTATTCTTTGTGTCAAACTTCACTCATTATTTTAGAACAACTAATTCCCCAAATGTCTATGCAAGAGAATGTTCTAAAAGAAATAACTGGATTTCATAATTATAGAGTAAAACGGTCTTATATGGACGGAGTTGGTAATATTTTTAAAGTTTTATTCGGAACTTTAGATGCAGAAGATGCTAAGAAATACAATGAGGCAATAGAAAATTTAGATAACAATGAACATGAAGTTTTACAATTATTAAAATCGCAATCGAATGTAGTAAAATCAACTATTTCTAATTTTAATAGTACGATAACTGATTTGTATACAAATGAAAAAATATTTAATAAAAATTTAAACTTGCTATCTAACTATACAAAAGATATTGGAGATAAAATATTTAGTATTAAAATGAAACAAGATGTTGATGAACATATGTCATTATTGACTTTACTAACTACTGAAATTGAAAATGAAATTTCTATGATTATTAATGCAATTTTATTTACTAAAAATAATGCAGTTCATCCTGTTATAATAACGCCAGAACAATATGGTATTGAATTAAGAAAGACAGTATCTTATTTACCACCTCAGACTAAGTATCCTCTAGATATTAATGAAAAGAACGTACCAGAATTATTGTCATTAGTAAACTTAGTGTCATATATTTCAAACGATAAACTCGTATTTATAATTAAAACTCCTTTGATTACTCAAGCTAGTTACGATTTGTATAATGTTTTACCTGTACCAATTAAAAGTAGAGACGAAACTTTTATATTTGTTTTACCTAACTTTAAGTATTTTTTGATGTCGAATAATAAAATTCATTATACCAATTTACAAAATTTAGATACATGTAAGAAACTTCAAGATAATGTAAGATTTATATGCAAATTAGCAACACCATTATATTCTGTTCATACTAGTAAAACATGTGAAACAGAACTTATGTATAGTAATTCAAAATTACCAAAAGAATGTGACACTAGAGTTGGTTACATAAACACTGAGCAATGGTATAAATTATATAGTGATAATAATTGGATATTTGTAACGCCTAAAAAAGTAATTGCTACATTGAATTGTAAAAATAAAGAACCAATAGATATTGAATTGATTAATACAGGTATATTGAAAATTTCAGATAGTTGTAAGTTATACACAACAAATATTGTATTGCAGACACAAACTTTAGGTTTTGAAAGTCATTTTAATTCCATCTTACCACCAATTGATATTGTATTAGATGATTGTTGTAAAAATATAAAAAGTAAAAATATAACGAATATAAATTTTGTACCAATTAAAATACATGAAAAATTAGATTTAGAAAGTCTAGACTTAGCAAGTCATAAAATCGATAAAATTAATGATATTATTGATAAAATAGGAAATCAGTCGATTTATAATAAGGTTATGAATAATGCTTACTTTGCGTACATAATGTTTTCAATTTTAAAAATGATTTTTATATATATTATTTATAGACTAGTTAAATATTTATGGAAAAGACATTTCTTCTGTAATAGAAATGATAGAATATTAGCATTAGAAGATACCAAATCATGTTGTGCTCGAATCACTAACTGTATTACATTGAAAGTTAATAATTCTGATAACAGGGATATAGAGTTAGAAGAAATACCTTCTACGTCAACCACACCAGATATACCATTAAGACGTAGCGCTAGAATCGCTCAATTAAAGATAAATTAAATAAATGAATTATGTACTGAATATTTTGCAAGGCATATCTTTCTATGTTTAAGTTTTATTTAAGAAATTGTTGAAAAATGTTTAAAATAAACTTTGTTTATTTTCTTAAAGGGGGAGGATTGTAATATTTCATAATATTTCAAGTAGATTTTTATATTGTATTTGTAAGTACACGTTGTTTTTCGAAATTAAATTATTATTCATAGAGATAACTAATTACCAGAATAGAGTCCAATGGTTTGTTTACACTAACAGCTATCTAAAGATATTGTTGTGATCATTAATTGTTTACTTTTCCCAAAGTTTAGCATTTGTTCTAACAATGCATTAACGATGTTTGTATAATAATTAAGAATAACTTAAATACTCCTCCACCCGATTGTAACAGGCAGTCCTGATCGGCAGTCCTGATCGACAGTCTAGTTAAGCTCTTTTCGTTTTAAGTGTCTATAATAATAAATATTATTAAATAATTCGTGACACTGCGTGGTTGTTATTTTCAAGGCCCCTTCTGACCACCGAACATTACACTTATAATAACCATAATATAACAATACGTGTTTTCGTTGTCTTTTTTTATAGAAAAAAAGGGGCAAACGATCCGTCTGATGCTAAGTGGCTATCCTCGCTCATAGACACCTGCAACACAATAGGAGTTGCGAATGCGTTGCCGGCCTTTATAGGACCTGAAGACAAGAGTCCCATGTTACAGCGCTCAGAGTAAACCTCAGGAGGATGATCATTCCACATTTTGCACGTGCGAGAACTTCCATTTCAAGCGTATATTATTTAATTTATATTAGCCAAATATCTTTAAGTTAACACTTTCAATATTTACCTTAAAGCTAAGTTATCATAAACAAGGTTATAACATGTTAGCTGAAAATTTTATTTTAAATTTTCATTTTCAGTGATAAGTGATAAAAACCACATGGAATAGGTTTGTACTAAAAATATCGTACGAATTTTAAGTACTATGTCTCTTTCATAACCATGAATGAGACGTAAAGGTTAAAAAGCAACAAACTTGAATAAAATTTTGGAGAATCACCTGATTTATGACATGATTATCTCTTCCTTGTGTATTGGTGAGTATCTGCACTGCGTTTGTGACAATAGGGTCCTCGCTATCTGCGAACCACACTGGCGGTGTGTTGGGGTATGTCTCCTGTAAAAAAAAATATATATTATAGAGATATTTTAAACACACCTGCAATTTCATTTATTTACAATAACAGATACGTAAACTTAAATTATTTCTCGTCTATACCAATAAAACTAAACCTTAGGGGCAAATTTTGACAGTCCTCCAATAGCGACATGGTTTTACTAAAGAAGTAGGTATAAGTCGTTTGTAATATTTTAATAAAACTTTTATATTACATTCAAACTTTCTCCCATAGTTCATTTCACAGTTTCGAAGCAGTAAAGTACTAAAAGGTAGTCGGAAGGAGGATTTCAGATTTATAATGAATACAATAGATCTATCTATCGGCTCAGCCCGCGTTCAGATGACCGAAAACCAAATTCTTAGATTTTACATATTAGTATACTTACATTGCAGTTTTTGTATTATTTTTTTTCAAAAATAAGATATTTTCCCGCAGTAAAAAGTATCCTATATGTTGACCCGGATAACCAGCTATCATCATACCAAATTTCATCAAAATCCCTCCATTGGTTTTCCGTGATACGGTAACAGACAGACAAAAATTCTAAAATCTATAGATTCGGTCTCTATATCGATAATAATCACTATTTCAATAAGATTTCCAAAAAAATATTTAATGTACAGATTCGGCTTAGTTACAATTTTATTATACATATGTATAGAAGTATTACTTCAAAATCACAACACAGAATATTAGAAATAGATAAAATTAATCTAAGGAAGTTGCGATGTCAGCAAATATTTAAAAAATTGTTTTTTTTTTTCTTTAAACTAGCACATAAAACATTAGAGTACCACTCGAAAATAATTAATTAACATACGACAAGTTCGTTCTTTTATAAAAAATGATCTTTGATGTCAACCCTCACTTCAGTATACAAACAAAACGACACGAAAGCTTTTTTTCTTTATTTAAGAAGAAAGTATTTTTTTTATAATTTCTATATATAAAGAGGCAAAGATAAAACGGTGTAGTAATCTTCTGTTTGTCAACCGATTTTCTTTTTTCTTTGTTTAATAGCTATTGACAAGCTTTAGCGTTATCAATAAAGTGATTAAGGTCGAATTTCGACCACTTGGCGACGACTAGTAAAGAATAAAGGCAGGAATGCTTTATTATGGATTGATTGGTGTAAGAAATTGTAGGTGAAGGACCGAAAAGTTGAAATAAACATTTTTCAGTACATAAGGCGTGACAGTAGCAAAAAAAAGGCTAAAAGAAGTCAAAAAAGTTTGCATATTCGGAAATAACCTTTTACAGGTTTTTGCGCTTTTTTTTAGAAATGAAAAACTACAACCTGCTACGACAGAATATCAAACGCAGGGCTAATTAAAGCAGCTCATAGTAGCGAAGCTTTTTTTCGTCGCTTTTCAGTAAATTCGTCGAACTCCATAATTAACCACACCATTTCATGAGCTGACAATATGCATAATTTTATGACAATTATTGCAATTGCAAAGAGACCAATTAAGTATAATACATAATTCATCCATTCATTCATCCAGTACTGGATAAAAAATTACTATTATCCTATATCCTATCTGCATTATTGGATATTAGGCAGTAGTAGCCCAGTGGTAACGTGCTCGCTTGGGAAACCGAGTGAAGTGAGTTCAAATCCCGGGTCTCGCACCTCTGATATTTTCGTGTGCGAATCATTTCCAGCATGATTACCACTTATCTTAACGGTGAAAGAAAACATCGTGAGGAAACCTGCATGTCCGAAAGAAGCTAGCAAGTTTTTCAAAACACATGTGAAGTCCGCCCACCCGCACTTGGCCAGCGTAGTGAAATATGGCCTGATTCCCCTCGTACTGAAGGGAGGCCAGTGCTCAGCAGTGCGACGTTAAAAAGGGCTGAATACAAAATACATATCTTATCCAACTATTATAATAAACACGAAAGTTTGTGAAGACGGATGTTTGTTACTCTTTCACGCAAAAACTGCTGAACGGATTATAATGAAACTTTACAATAATATAGCTTATCAGAGTAACACATAGGCTATAATTTTTAAAGATGAACTTACACATGCGGAGCCGCGAGAAAACGCAGAACCCGAACCATACTCGAAACGCGCGGTTAATCCATAACCAAAACAGCGCGAGGACCTTGGGCCCCCATCAGCTGTTGCCATACCTCGAAAAGCTATCTTCCTCGCACATAAGACTTTTTTGTCTATTTTTTATCGTTGATAAATTTGTCTGGCGATTTGCAAATATTATTGAAAATTACTCTATAAATACATGATTAAAATTTCAGATTGCCAAAAGTAATTTTTGGGAATTTTAATAAAATATCTTAGGAGAGGTCTAGTAATATTTTATAACCGACCAAAACGTCTGAGGTACTTTTTTTATTATATAAAAACTAAATTAAAAGATTAAACAAAATTCGAGTTGTCAAAAATACATTTTTTGGATATTTTTTCTGCAAATTTTATTTATAATTATATACTGCACAGTAACGAAATAACCGCAAACGTTATCCCAGACTCGCGGGACTGGACTCGCCAATTGACGAATATAATAATAATATTATAAACGTTAAAGTGTGTTTGTTTGATTGTCCTTCTTTCACGTCGAAACGGATGATTTATTGTGTGGAGATAGTTGGAGAGCTGGAGTAACATAGGCTACTTTTTACCGCGGGAGATTATCTAATTCCCACGGGAAAACACGTTATAGTACAATCCAAAAAAAAAATTATGATCAGAATTACTTGAAACTTGGTATTAATGCTTTTCAATAAAAACAAATAAATACGTGTTTTAGCATTTTTCGAAATTCATCCCTTATGAGGGTAAAATAGGGTATGAAAGTTTGTATGAAACCTACTTTTTTTAGTTTTTCTGTAGTTTTAACGCGAGCGAAGCCCTGGGTTCTGCTAGTAATATGCTCTTGATTTATTTTTCTTTTTAATTGAAGATGTAACCTTTTCATTAACGAGGCACTAAGCGACTCAACGCGAGGTAAGAAAATTATACATAAACGTTTCCCGTATTCAAAGAGACTAAAGCGTTAGAAAAAGGCAGGTTTTTGTACACCGTCCAATTAAATTCATTTTTAGTGTCACTGTACAAAGAGTGGCCCGGATGTAGGAAGAAAGATGTCAGGAACAGGTTTACATGACCTACTTTTTTTAACAATGAATCCCTGAATGTTGACATGTCAGCTGATACAAAGCCTGAGAATAAACATTTATTTTACATATAATACTAGAACATAAACCAAGCTAGAACCTAATATTTGTATTGTTTGTTATCATCATTAAAGTATGTACTTCTTGGTGCATTGGTGATTGTCTGTCTATACACCAATAAAGTCAGATTCAAGATCGAAAGAAAGATATTTTTAATAATAAAATTCTTTATTTCTCACCACAAACCAAAATACATAGTGCATAAATCATTAACAAAATTCAGTTATAGCATATGCTGGGTGATACAAATTTAGTTGTGAATCACCAGTGCCTGTAATAGGTAAAAACCTGTGTTAAAAGAACACCAGGTCGCCACCTCTGGACATTTATAAAAACTGCTAATATTGTTAATATTGCACATTTAGGTAAATGGTACATTGTAACGTAGTGATAGTAGTATTGAGATGAATATATGATCATTGATCATATAAGTATTTGTTTATAAGTCTTGTATTTCCCTAAATTGCAGCAGTCTAATTTACTGTGAGCTATGGACTCTCTTGATTAACAAAGTGGGAAAGATTTACAAGACCACAGTTACAGTTGTTGTCATGTTATCTATACATATAAAATTCTGAGTCAAATCTGTACATTGAATATTTTTTGGAAAATCTTACTGAAATAGACATTATTATCGATACAGAGGCAGAATCTACAGTTTTTAGAATTTTTGTTTGTCTGTCTGTGTGTTACCGCATCACGGAAAAACCACTGTAGGGATTTTGATGAAATTTAGTATGATGGTAGCTGATTATTCGGGTCAACATATATGATACTTTTTACTGTGGGAAAATATCTTATTTCTGAGAAAAATACAAAAACTGCTATGTAAGACTATACTAATATGTAAAACCTAAGAATTTGGTTTTTGATCATCTAAACGCGTGCGGAGCCGCGGGCAATGCTAGTCATATACTATTTCCAATCTATATAATGGACAGACATTCAATACTTATTTACACTATTCTTCCCTCTGTCCCATAATAAATTCTATAATTGCTTCATAATAATTTTCTTCTATTATCTATGGATAAATCATATATTATATTTAAACATGCATAGTAAATTGTTGATACTCATTATTTTGTTTACATATAATTTTCCTACTTAGTTTACTATAGTAAATCACTTGATAGTCTTAATTAAAACCTAGTTACAAAAGAAAGGAGCAATTATTGTAAAGCAATGCTTAGAGCAAAGTGTTGAATCGCATAACATATAGTACTTTTGAATGTTTACTAATTTCACAGTTTTAAGGGTTTTGTAGTATACACACTACAGTATGTAAACAAATATCAAACTAATTTTGATTATGATATACACACTATATTATTTAATTATTTGCACTCTTTATTTTTACATTAACCCTACCCTTTTACATGAACCCTAATTCTTTTTTTAAAATAAAAGTAGCCGAAGTTACTCCTTATAACATCAACTATCTGCAAGTGAAAGTCCCATCAAAATCAGTCCAGCCCTTCTGAAGATTAGCAGAACAAACATAGACCATAATTTAAAAGAATGTGTTTTTCTAAGTACTATATGTAATTTCATATGCATTTAGTAAAAATGCTGTTATTTTGACATTACAAACAGACACATCAATTGTATTTACAGTTAAAACCGTTTATGACGACATTGTTTAGAACAACATATCGGTTATATTGACCAAAATCAAAGGTCCCGGCTGAATGCTATATGACCGTCTTATTAAAAATATTGCTCTTTACGACATTGTTTATTACGACATACCTCTTTAAGGGACCACATTTAACTAATATCTTCGGCGAATTATATCTGTTAGAACGACCAGCTGTATTGTAAGCAATTTGAATAGGTAACAGTATCCACATCTGGCCCAAATTATATAGTCGAGATATATGTGAAACTTTTGACATGTCGCACAGAAAAAGAAAAATTAATATCGAGGAAAAATCGCATATTATATCAAAGCTAGAGAGCGGAATTCCAAACAAAGACTTGGCAAAAGAATATGGTGTATCACACTCGACTATGTCAACCATTTGGAAAGAGAGGGAAAAAATTCAAACCTTGAGAGAGAAAGAGGGAAAAAATTAAAAAATTAAAAATGAAACGAGCCAGAACAACGAAGCATACGAAGATTGAGGAAGCTTTGTTAAAGTGATTTAAATATCAAAGGACAAATAATGTGCCAATAAATGGACCAATTCTTCAACAAAAAGCAAACGATTTTGCTCAGCGTTTTGGTGAACATTTCGTTTGCTCCACTCAATCTCTCTCTATATGTTCACATTCAATAATACCACTTCATAAAAAAATACTTTGTACCTAAAAAACATCACCGGCTGCTACGACTATCGGTTTGTACGGCCAAATATGAGTGGTCCCTTCGATGTTGTTATAACAGATTTTGACTGTATCTGTATAGAGCATTGTTTTTAAAGGCAAAATATTTAAAATAAATTTATTACTTAATATTATCAATTTCATGTGTGTCTAATATTAATGAAACTATGCATTGTTTTGCACTCAGTTTGAATATATTCTCTAAAACATTACTTAGATAATAATATATTATGGTAACTGTTTAATATTAAAAATAAAATTAATGTGTATAAAACTAGATCTTGTTGTTTACAAACTAAAAAAGTATTTTATATGTAAAGATGTTGTTCTATAAATATAAAATAAACTTATTGATACTAAAATAACAACAATTAAATTATTTCTAAGTAAAGCTAAGGGTTTCCTTAGCTACTTTATTTAGTAAACACAGCCTCTTTATTGGTAAATACAACAGAACTTGTACAAGATGGTTGTAATGTTTTGTGACAGAAATAATATAATTAAAATAAAAAATATGTATATATGATCGATACGATAACAGATATGATAAATTTATAAAATATACACAAGTAACAAGAAATGTAATTACTATTTAGAATATTTATTTTATAGGAAATGAATATTTCATACATTACCAAAATATTTACAAAAGTTTCATTTAACTAAATATTTTTTGAGAAATGTCTCAATTGAATTATAAATAACATTTAAAGATTTTTTTTTTATTTGGTACCATAAAAAGCAGGTAGCCAGCATGACTAAGAGCCTTTGTCCTAAAATCGCGCATCTGTACCGTTATTTAAGCTAAATAGACGTTACCCTCAATAAATATAGCTGTAAAGAGTCTCGCACACTGTGAATAGGCTACTGAAAGTTGAATAATCGATACGATGATTCGTCATGCACCCGAAAAATGATTTAGGAAGAAATGTCATAGTATGATGAAAAACCTGCGCACATAGCAAAATCGTTTACAATTATTGTAAGTAAATAAACAGCCGAGGTGATTTCCACTCCTTCGTGTTTGCAAAACACGCGATATAAGCAATTTCACGAGGAAAATAATCACTTCCGTAAACCTTTTGTTGACAGCCCTGCCCTCATAAACACGACCCTTTGTCCTAACTAACGATAATCAATACGTACGATCATTAATTTCACTCATAACTATTACTGTTTTAAATTACTACTTAGATACTCTGTGTACTTACCGTGATATTTGCGTGGATTTCATATTTCTTTCCATTTTTGCCAACGAATCTGCAGGTCAGTTCGTCGACACTAGCTGACATTATCTGAAACCGCTCATGGCTTTTTGGAAACACTTGTTCTAGAGTCTTTATTTCTAACTTAAGTGTATTTAAGCAAGCCATTAGTGTATTCAAACACTAATTTTTAAACTAAATAACTATTTGCCACATTAGAATACATAGAAATAGATTTACGTTCACTCCCGACCAAGCAAAATGGCGGAACGCAATGGCGGACAAGTACAAGTACAAAATATTGACGATAGAGGGCGCTCAAATAAATAACATCGTCTTTCTTGCTCTCTATATAATACATTCTCTTTCTTTAAAATTGTAAATGTGAACGAAAATTAAGAATTGACTTTTTAACAGTATTTGGAGACTTTTGTTTTTTGAAGTATACACATAATTTTTAAGTACCTTAGTACTGAGTAGTAGTAGTCTTAAAAAGTAAGTATTTATTTAAAAATAAAACTGTATAAATTATAATATTTTGAAATCATACATTTTAGTAAAATATAATCAAGGCACACGTTGTATTAAGTATCAACTAAGCCAGAATCAAATACGTAAAATATATTTAGATAGGAAATTTTGCTCCTTATAATAAAGAATACATATTTAAAAGAATTTTTGAATTAAGCTTTAATTTCAATATATTAATAATAATTAGTTACCTAAAAGATCAATACCATTTTTTCATGAAAAAAAAACCAAATGAAAACTTTGAAACGATAATTTAACTAATACATACTTGAGATACTATTTATATTTCAGTATTATTTAACATGTAAATAACTAATATAATAATGATAACAACATAATATTGTAATTAGATATATTAATGATAAATGATCATAGGGATTTAAATTATTTTTTATTTAAACGCCATAGTTGTGGATACAATATATTTTTTATATTTAATACAAAAAATATGTTAAATTTATCCTGAAATCCATAATTTGTTGATAAGTATGCCTGGAACCATCTTTGTAAACAGAATACAGATTATCACGATTTCATCGTCATATATTGTCAATGTCAAGGTTGACGTAAAGTGAGATTTGTTATTATTTACAATTTTACGAATTGCAAATAAATATTTGATTACTTATATTATATAATAAGAAAATTGAATTAATAGTTTATATTATAATACTTACTGCTTTTGCTTTTATTATTATACAATACATATATTTGTTAATTATATAAGCTTGAAAAATGTTTAGAAACTCTCGCGATTATCATAAGTCTTCGCAAAGAAAAACATCACATTCCCGCGAAAGCGATTCTAGGGAAAGAACTAAGATTAGGAAACAAAGTCCTTCGGTAACAACATTAACTACAGAATTTAGTTTCTTGGACTATAAGAAAGATTTAAATAAAATGTTTTCATACAGTAACGATTCTAATATTGTTATAAATAGTCTTGACGACTTCTGGATATTTGTTAAGAAATATGAAGCCACTTTAAAAAAAGCAGGAAAATCAATTATTGATACAGATCCTGAAAATAATGAACTAAATGATATTGGAATTCCAAAAGAATTTTCTAAACATCACTGTATAAATTTTAAATTTAAATTGAAGTTTATGGACAGTGTATATGATGAGGGAGATAGGAAAAAATTAGACAAAAAATTGTTTGATGTCTTTTTGAATATTGTTTCAATATATTTAGATTTTAAAAATAAAGAAAAATTTGAAAAGTTAAAAAAATTAAGAAAAGCACAAAATGATCTTCCTGTTGCTAAATATAGGTTTGTTTTCAAGCTATACTAGTGATATATTTAAATCAAAGGAATTTATTTATTTCTAAATTTTACATGAAATGTTAAAAGTAAATAATTATTGAAACTTTATAGAAATGAAATAGTATCTGCTGTACAAAATGAAAAAGTTGTGATAGTTGCTGGAGATACTGGATGTGGAAAATCAACTCAAGTTCCACAGTACTTACATGCAGCTGGATTTCAAAATATAGGTAGAAAAACAAATATAAAACATATAGTCAAATATCATTTATCTCTAAATAATTTTTTTTAAGACAAATTATCAAAAATATAAATTACATATCTTCCATCAGATTAAAATGGAGGCATATTTTTGTAAAATAAATATATATTTTTTATTTGTAGTAAATTGAATGTTCTTATATAAAAATACTTATTTGCATTTATATTATTCAATTGATTTTTTTATTAATAGCTTTAAAATAGTTGAATGATTACTTGATTTTATTTTTCTAGTAAACAGAATACTAACTACTAAGTCTGTTTTGTGTTCTTGTAATATGGCTTATGGCTTAAAATATAGTTTCTATGTATATATAATGTCAGTTTTTGAAGTAACTGTTAAAATGCAATATTATCTTTCAGCTTGTACACAACCCAGAAGAATAGCTTGTATTTCTCTATCAAAACGTGTTGCATTCGAAATGTTAACACAATTTGATACTAAAGTTGGATATCAAATAAGATTTGAAAAATCGAAAACATCTGAGACTAAAATTTGTTTTATAACAGAAGGATTGTTATTAAGACAGGTAATATTTTTTTTTATAATATCAATAACAAGACTAATTTTTGATACACCTTTGCTTTAAGTAGCATGTTCAATTCTAGTACTTAATTAATATTTTTGTAAAAAGGTATTTTATATTTCTCTTTGCCTAGTAAAGCTACAATGCACATTGAGTCCTACTATATTTGTTAAAAACTTAAAATTAAATGTATATCTCATAAAATTTCATTTCATATATAAATAATTATGATTTTTGCAAATTCGTAGTATTTAAAATAATTTCGTTTTATATCATATATATTATATATCATGGAACTATTGTAATATATTCTACTAATACTGAAGGTTTTTGTACGTAGAGTATAATGCAAATAAATTGTAAGTTGAGTAACTATTAAGTATTATTTTAGATGTCATCAGACAGCTTACCAAACTATGATGTGATAATTCTTGATGAAATACATGAGAGGCATTTAATGGGAGACTTTTTACTTGGTATTCTCAAATGCTTAATACACACTCGCAATGACATTAAGTTAGTGCTTATGTCGGCAACTATAAATATTAAATTGTTTGAAGATTATTTTTCTGCAGAGGAAGCTGTTGTTATACAAGTTAGTATTTTATGTAAATAAAAATTATATTTTTTGTTTGTTATAGAAAAAAAATAGAAATGGTTTTTTAAAAAGATTATTTATTTTAAATTTAAGTTTTTTTATCATTACTTTGAAACAATTAAAATCATGTAATGGAAAAGGTTTATTTTAATACCTTCTATTTCTCAGGTTCCAGGTAGACTGTACCCTATAGAATTAAATTATAAGCCAATATTTATTGACGATAAGCCATCAAGAGATGACAGACTGGACCCTCAACCATATGTTCAGATAATGCAATTGATTGACAGCAAATATCCCAGTAAGTAATTATATCTTTAAAAGCATCTATCAGTAATTTAAGTATAAACTTAGGATATATAGGTTTCCTCACGATATTTTCCTTCACCGTTAAGACAAGTGGCAATCATGTTGGAAATGATTTACACATGAAAATATCAGAGATGCGAGACTCGGGATTTGAACCCGCTTCACTCGGTTTCCCAAGCGAGCATGTTACCACTGCGCTACCACTGCCTTACAATCTATTACTTTACAATTCTTGAATGAACTTTCCAGGCGATGAAAGAGGTGATGTACTTATATTTATGTCGGGAGTCCAAGAGATAACCTCGATATGTGATGCAGCACAGCAGTATGCAGAGAAAACTAAAACATGGATAGTGTTACCACTACATAGTGGTTTGTCGCTTATAGAACAAGATAAGGTATGTGAATTATATTGGTGTAATATGATATGGGTGTTATTGATAATGGAAATGACATTTAAGATTATTAACTGTACAATACTTAAAGTTTAATCGTAAACAGTTCAGTAAAGAACTAATGAACACGCTACAATCTTTTAATTATCAAATGATTATGGTCATTTGATAATCATATTGAAGATTTTTTCTAATTTATAATTTTATTTTTATATCTTTTTATTTCATACGTTGAAGATCATGAAAAGCCACCAGTATTTTGCCTGATTTTCCACAAGTTGTAGGAAAGTTAAAAATTGCCAAACTACAATATTATTGGTGGCGGTGGTGGAACAAAATGTGAGAATTCAAAGAGTTAGACGCTATGTCGATTGATTCGTATTATTTGATATATTTTTTTGTTTTTAAAGGTTCTGATGTTATTCAACTTGAAACGCCTGAAAATGGGCATGTTTAAACAGCTCTTTATTCTGTACTTTATTTTATTTTAATATTAAACTACATATTTCCAAGTGTACCTATTTATATTTTCTCGATATGTACTTTAGGCGATGTAATAATAAACAATAAATTAAGAGTAATAGAAAAAAAAACTATAAGTATACTATTCTCTAGTCCCACCAGACTGGGAGTGAAAGAGAAAAACACATAGTCTGCGAAGATCATTAAAAACATATATCCAAACTGTATTTTTTTAATATTTCGAATTACAGGTTTTCGACTATCCACCAGAGGGCGTCCGAAAATGTATAGTGTCAACAAATATAGCAGAGACTTCAGTTACAATAGATGGTATAAGATTTGTCGTTGATTCAGGAAAGGTATACAGCTTCAACTTATTATATAAAAACTAGCGGCTCACCATCGCTTTGCTCGGGTTCGCGTCTAGAAAAACAAAAAATAAATTTATCTCAAGGGAACTGTACATTTTTCCGAGATAAAAATTTTTTTAACCGATACACATGACGATGGTGATAAAAAAATCAGACAAGAGCAATTCCGGCTTCCACACCGAAGGTTCTGAAGCGCGCGAGATTAAAATAAGCATATAATCGCAAAAACTATATATTTGTGATGTAAATGCATGGACAAAGAGAAACACAGCAAACAAAATTTTAAAAAAGGGTTGCTTAGGCACTGGTGTCGTATAAATAACTCTATGTATTTGAGAAAACATAGTTATTTTACAATCACAGACAGACCCTTTAATTTTATTTATATGTATAAATTTAACAATTCACACTCATGGTCACAGGAGACACAAAAATGATAGCTGTAACGCATTGGAAACTTTGGAAACCGAAAATCGACATAAATTCGCGAAAAATCCGAAAAGATAGTTTTATTCAATATTTTAAATGTTCGCGTAAATCTAAGAAAGTATCTTGTGTATTTATTAAATGTAATGTTTTTGGTGAATCTAATAATGAAAAAAAAAAATGTCAAGAAATTCGCAGTAGTAGTACCTAATAGTATCGGAATTGAGAAGATGACGATGTTGAAAAGAACAGACAGTTCACTTGTGTTTGTACGCACATTTGTGCACTATAAGCAGTGGGTTATTTTCAGGGAGATGTACTCGAAATTGGTCAGGAGAACATATACAGACAATAGAAATCATTTTTTTTCAGGCCTTAGTGTCCCACTGCTGGGCAAAGACCACTGCTGGGCAAAGCTATTTATATACAATGATATCTATTTATATACAGTGGTAGCTCAGTGGTAACGCGCTCGCTTGGGAAACCGAGTGAAGCGGGTTAAAATCCCCGGGTCTCGCATCTCTGATAGGTACTTCATGTGCGAATCATTTCCAACATGATTACCACTTGTCTTAACGCTAAAGGAAAACATCGTAAAAGAAACGTGCATGTCTGAGAGAACATAGCAAGTTTTTCGAAAGACATGTGAAGTCCGCCAACCCGCACTTGGCCAGCGTGGTGGACTATGGCCTGATTCCCCCTCGTGCTGAAGGGAGACCTGTACCCAGCAGTGGGACGTTAAAAAGGGCTGAATACACATACATTCAATTGTATCTCATAAATGATTTGGTTACGTTACAGGTAAAAGAGATGAGTTATGATTCATCAACTAAAATGCAAAGATTAAAAGAGTTTTGGGTATCGAAAGCAAGTGCTGATCAAAGAAAAGGAAGGGCTGGAAGAACTGGTAAACACATTATTTTCTAAATTTTTTAAATACTTTAGGAAAAAAATGTATGCCATATATTCTAACTGGTAACTGGTAGCTTCTTAGTGTTAGTTCTTAGTGTACAACTTTCCATTAGTAGTGCTATTAATTATTATTATAAAAAATATGGGCTTAAAAACACAAAGCATGCTATTTAAAGTTCATTTTACTTTTACTTTTTTTAAAATAGAACTCTAAAGTAAAATAATAAATAAACAAAATTGATCAAATATAGGTCAGGGTCAAGTAAAATAAGATGGTCAATATAAATATCAATTGTTACATAAATACTTAAATAACATTTTGTGGTAATTGTACTGTGAAAGAATTTTCCAAAAACGATTCGCACTTGACCAATCTTTTCATCATATGTTTCCAGGTCCTGGTGTGTGTTACCGTATTTACTCTGAACAGCAGTATTCAGATATGGAGTCATTCAGTACACCAGAAGTGTCTCGAGTGCCTCTAGCTTCTTTGCTACTGTTAATGAGCGCTCTCGGAGTCAATGATGTTAGGGTATTCCCATTTATAGACAAACCTCCGGACGATGCTATTGAGGATGCTTTGTTGGAATTGAAACAACATGTAAGTGTATAATACTTTCTTAGATTTACGCGAATATTGGACATTTTAAATAAAACTATCTTTTCGGATTATTTCGCGGATTTATTTGGATTTTTGGTTCCCGACGTTTCGAATGCTTTACAGCAATCATGGTCACGGGAGAGACTGAGGTGTTAGATGTCTCGAAGGTATAGTTGTTACACACAGCCTACCCACAATTAACAAAATGAAAATTGCACCAATTACCTTACAATATTTTTTAACTTTAAACATTTTTATAATTTTAAAATTATAAAAATTCTTAAAATCGAAACATCGGGAACCAAAAATCCAAATAAATCCGCGAAAAAATCCGAAAAGATAGTTTTATTTAAAATGTTAGTGTTTATTTTAATGCGAGATTAATAGTTACAATAAAAAATAAAAAGGTGTATATATTTTAATTTAAAATAACGATTGAACGTCCCACTGCTGAGTATGGGCTCCCTTCAATACAAGGTATCAGGTTATAGTCCACCACGCTGGCTAAATGCCAGTTAACGAGCTTAAAAAACTACTTAGGTTCTCTAGATATGTAGTTTTCCTCATCCACGCATTTCGCCAGCGTGATAGACTATATGCTACTGCTTATCTCTAAACTAAAAATAAAACTAATAAACTAAACTTAGTTTACTAAATATTAATTTTAAAATTATAAAAATTCTTAAAATCGAAACATCGGGAACCAAAAATCCAAATAAATCCGCGAAAAAATCCGAAAAGATAGTTTTATTTAAAATGTTAGTGTTTATTTTAATGCGAGATTAATAGTTACAATAAAAAATAAAAAGGTGTATATATTTTAATTTAAAATAACGATTGAACGTCCCACTGCTGAGTATGGGCTCCCTTCAATACAAGGTATCAGGTTATAGTCCACCACGCTGGCTAAATGCCAGTTAACGAGCTTAAAAAACTACTTAGGTTCTCTAGATATGTAGTTTTCCTCATCCACGCATTTCGCCAGCGTGATAGACTATATGCTACTGCTTATCACATTGACAGGAAGTCTATGCCCAATAGTGGGACGATAAAAAGGTTTAAATTAATAAAACTTTCCGGTTTTGTTAATGTTCAAAACAATATGTTAAAATTCAGAAAAATATGTATGAAAATTGTGAGTAGGCACTGTCTGTAACAAGTATATAACGCATTTGAGACGTCTAAAATCTTAGTCTCTCCCGTGACCATGATTGCTGTAAAGCATTCGAACGTAACGTCGGGAACTAAAAATCAAAATAAATCGGCTAAATAATCCAAAAAGATAATTTTATTTAAAATACTAGCGACTCACTCTCGCTTCGTTCGGGTTCGCCCCTAGTTACATTTTAATTTTTACTGAAATAAAAGTAGCCTAAGTTACTCCATATAACATCAACTACCTGCCAGTGAAAGTCCCGTCAAAAACGGCCCTGCCGTTTCTTAGATTAGCCGGAACAAATAGACAGAGAGACAGGCAGACAATAATTTTAAAAATTGTGTTTTTCTTATAAATACCGTATATATATTTTAACCGAAAAATAACAGAAAAAGAATATAATTAATTTATTACATTTTACAGGGCGCCATAACATCAAACGAGAAACTAACACCGCTAGGTAAAGCATTATCAAATCTGCCAATAGAAGTGTCCCTAGCCAAAGCACTCGTAGTGGGCAGTGCGAGCCTCCCGCCACACAAACTGGACTCTGCCCTCGCCCTCACCGCGGCGTTGGGAATCCGTTCTATTTATACTACTAGAGCGCATCGGGACTTCGAGTGTGAAGTGAGTATATAATCATCCATACTATCTAATCTCCTAAATAAAACTCCTCCGAAGCTAGACCGATTCTTATGAAATTTTAGTGTGTATATTCAGTAATTCTGAGAATACGACGTAAATATTTTCCAAACCCATAATTGTTTTGGACGAAATGTTTTATTTAAATTTTTTTATGATTCGGCATTAAAATACATACGAACCTAAATTATGAATAGGGGCGAACTCGAGCGGAGTGAGGGTGAGTCGCTAGTAATATTATAAATGTGACAATGTTTGCTTGTTTGTTTGTATTTTGTTTGTTTGTCCTTCTTTCACGTTGAAACAGAGGGAGGGACGGATTGGCGTGATTTTTTGTGTGGAGATAGTTGCGGCATACTTTTTATCACACGAGTTTTTTGTTTTAATAATTGTAACACTGATATTACTATTTAAAACTATTTAGAGTTTACTATTTTAACGCTTGTTGAATATTTTTTTTGTTCATGAATACTAACATCATGGATATATGACTTAGTTTAGAAGCATTACATATTGTGACCTCCTTTTATATATTAATATGTGGGTGCAGAAACCTTAAGCTAATTATTATAATTTTAGATGTTTTTTTTCTTAGATATTACTCAAAATTGCTTTTTTTTTATCTTAGATGTAATTTTAAACTAGTAATATATTTTTATTAAATACAATATTAATAGGTAATAATATTTTTTTTGTTGGAAAACCTATATTAATAACTCTGTTACCACGCAGAATGAAACACTTTCAAGACAGATTTTTTTATCGAATTGTTATATGTATAAATTATAAAATATTTATTAGTCCTATTAAATATGAATAACAATACAAATTAAGTATTCAAACATCAAACTATTAAAAAAATAAAGAAATTATATATTTCAATACAATATTTTTTAAATTATTATCATACTTATACAGAATGGATATTTATTATAAAACGAAAGAAAAAAAGTATAAAAGGATAAGTCAGTTCAATTTTTGACCCCGACGTGATTTGAACACGCAACCTTCTGATCTGGAGTCAGACGCGCTACCGTTGCGCCACGGAGTCGGTATAACATGTGATCAATTTTATGATCTTAACAGACGATTATTTACTCTATAATTATCTGATAGATGTAATTTTAGAATTTCATACACTATAGAGAGATATTACATTACAAATCGTTATTTAATTTTTTTGTTTACTTCTTCTTATTAAAAAAATTGTTAATGTTTAAGTTAAATTAAACATTGAGTTAAGCAAACACGTATTTGTAAACTCAGTTAATATCTGTTTTGTACCACTTTGTATAACATAGCTTTTTTAATAGGTGCTATAGAAGTTCATAATATATTTGATTATTACTATTGAATGTTTTTTTAATGTTTTGTTAATGCCTTGCTTTTTCTTATGGTAAATTAAAAGTATCACCAGATGTTATATTTAGGCATATTTTCTTAATGTTTTTTTTTTATAATTGTAATCTATACTAATATTATAAAGAGGCAGAGTTTGTTTGTTTGCTTGAATACGCTAATTTTTAAAACTACTATTACGATTTGAAAAAGCTATATATATCATCATGCTTCTACCCAAGGGATTGGAGTAGTAATATAATATTATACTAGCATTGCCCGCGGCTCCGCCCGCGTCCAGATGATCAAAAACCAAATTCTTAGGTTTTACATATTAGTATACTCTTACTTTGCAGTTTTTGTATTTTTTTCTCAGAAATGAGATATTTTCGCGCGATTAAAAGCATCCTATATGTTGACCCGGATAACCAGCTATCATCATACCAAATTTCATCAAAATCCCTCCAGTGGTTTTTCTGTGATGCGGTGACAGACAGACAGACAAAAATTCTAAAAACTATAGATTGGACTTGTGTATCGATAATAATGTTTATTTCAATAAGATTTTCCAAAAAAATGTCTTGTTTACAGATTCGGCTTAGCTACAATTTTATTATATGTATAGATTGTTCCTAAGTCTAAGCAGTGTACATATGACATACATTTTGTACAACCTTCATATAATAAATACTTAATCGGCTTTTGACATTACTAAGATAACATACACGTTTAAGGTTATGCTATTTAATATATATATATATATATATATATATATATATATATATATATATATATTAAATTAATGATATGAATAAATATGAAAAATATTTGAAATGTTCTTACTTTGTAAATTAATATTTAATTAAGATCAGATTTTTTGATTATTCGTTCGCCAACGTCCATACCACGTTGAACACACCGGTTCTCGTCCGATCACCGAAGTTAAGCAACGTCGGGCGCGGTCAGTACTTGGATGGGTGACCGCCTGGGAACACCGCGTGACGTTGGCTTTTTTTTTGTTTAAAGTATTTTTAATATTTTTCCTCTAATGGTAAAATGTTGGACTCTTTCAAATAAATTTAGAGTTCATAATTGAACATGCTTTTAAACTATAGTTAAATTGTCAAAAATATATGTATATTTAATACTAGCCTTTTCCCGTAGATGTGTTACTTTTAACATGCTTATTAATAAGTATAATATGCGTTACCCTATATAAGCTATATTACTGTAAAGTGTCATCAAAATCCGTCTAGTAAATTCTGCGTGAAAGACTAAAAGTGCAAAACAGACATACATCCATACGTTCTCATAAATTTTCGCGTTGTAAATGTATTGTAGTAGGATTAAAAATAACTATTTTTTAATTCAGAATTCACGTAAACCAGACGAATCAGATCATGGCGATCCAGTGACTCTATTATCGTTATATTGTGCGTGGTTAAAAGAAAAATCAAAGGGTGGCGGTCGAGCGTGGTGTAAGAGACGAGGCATTGAGGAACAACGTTTGTATGAATTGACCAAATTAGCTGCACAATTAAAGAATTTATTGCAGGTGAATAATGATTATTTTTCATAAGTATAATATTAAGATTTTGTATGTTTTAACTAATGGTTAGCATGTATGGCTAATGATAAGAAGGTCTTAGGTTCGAATCCCAAGACCGTGTTTAGTCTCCCACTGGTCATGTTAAATTGTCGTCTCATCGAAGTTTTAAAGTGAAAGGACATTGGCCACCGTGGCAGAAATAAGTTATAATTTAAACGTCACACTGGTAACGTGGGAAGTATTGAAAATATGTAGTATTTTATTGAGAATATAATATATATATATATATATATATATATATATATATATATACATATAAATATACAATTTTTGCTACTTACCATGTCTTTTGTTATTCCAATAGTATAATATGAATAATTTATTATTTTTGCTTTAACATATATTATAATTATATTGTGTACATATAATATATCATTATATGTGTTTTATTATATCATTGCTTTTTAACCTTTTAAGCGTGTTTTTTTTTGCTTACAGGATAATAATCTAATGGAAGCGCCTGAACCGGAATCCATGTCTTCTGCGGAACGATCTATGCGGCACGGCCAATTGAAACACCTAAAAGATATGAGACGGTAAACAACTATTAACTCATTATTATTTAGATATCTAATATATAAATATCTCGTGTCACGGTGTTTGTGGTCGCATTCCTCCGAAACGTCTCGACCGATTTTAATGATTTTTTTTTGTATACTTAGTAGGTATGAGAATAGGTACCTACCTCCACCCCCCATATTTTTATTGGCGATTTTAGTATTTTGTATGAACAATATTATATAAAATAAAAACATAAAACCAAAGAGTTTTTTGTAGATTAAACGCGGGCGTAACCGTGGGTTCTGCTAGTTATCTTATAATATTAAATGAACAATTCTTGTGTATATATAAATTTGACGGTTCTAACGATTTGGATCAAATTTTGTATTAAGATAAGGCTTTGCTTTTTAAGTTAATCTATATAGGTGTATTTTCTGGGAAAACTCGCAATTTTTATGTATTCTCCGAAAAAGCCTAGTGAAACCCGGTCAATACTAATATATAAAAAGATGAAATATTATGGGTAACAGATTCGAGTATAATTATTAGTGGTCGTGAATAGCTAAATTTTAATCTATTACTCATTGAAAAATATAAAAAATAAATAAGAATAAATAAATATCTAACGGCTTGAAAAAGGTAGTAGGTACAAGATGAATACGGACTGCCCAAGATCTGGATGGTTGGCGTTCTATGGGGAAGGCTTTCTTCCAGCACTGGACGAAAAGCTAAAAAAAATAATAAAACTATACCTTTGGTCCTTATGAAGTAAAAACAAAATCTCGTCTAAACCTAATTTATACTGTCTTATAATTAATTATGTCACTGAACCGGTAATTGAATATGAGATTAATTTTAAATAAATTATTTTTAAATGACGTTTCATTTTATCGGTTCCTTCTCTCCTTTGGAAATGATCGCTGATAATAATGCGAAATCAAAAATCAAAATAAATCCGCGCGAAAATTCCGAAAAAAAATGTTTTTTTTTTTTAATTTAAATTCATGTTAAATTAATAAAAAAAATTAAATTTATTTAAAAATCTATTATTAAATTATTAATATTATTTCCAGGCAATATAAAAATAAAGCAGCGGAAGAGTCAAAACGTAAGAAGCGTCTGAAAGTCGACTCGTGGGAGATAATAGATGATAGAGATGATGATAAAATAGATATTCGCGATATAGAGTTTCGTATGACGAATGACGCGGCTCGGATACGGGCGTTGATAAACGGCTCCAGTACTAACAGTGGGAGGGATCTTATTATGCTCAAGGTATTTTATTTAAAATATTGACGCTTAGTATGGAATAGATAAACTATAGGTATATTATCTATACATATAATAAAATTGTAACTAAGCCGAATCTGTACATTAAATATTTTTTTGGAAAATCTTATTGCAATAGACATTATTATCGAGTCTATAGTTTTTAGAATTTTTGTCTGTCTGTCTGTCTGTTACCGCATCACACGAAAACCACTGGAGGAATTTTGTTGAAGTTTGATATGGTGATAGCTGGTTATCCGGGTCAACGTATAGGATTCTTTTTACCGCGGGAAAATATCTAATTTCTGAGAAAAAATACAAAAACTGCATTGTAAGAGTATATTAATATGTAAAACCTAAGAATTCGGTTTTTGGTCATCTGCACGCGGGCGGAGCCGCGGGCAATGCCAGTACATAGGTATGATGAGTTTTATATCCCTGATTGATTCCCCGTAGAAACTTCCACCCCCTTAAGGGAAGATTACCGGGACAAAAACTATCCTATGTCCTTCACAGGGTCTCAAACTATCTTCATATATATTATTTTTATTATTCTTATTTTATTTTCAAAAATTGCATATTAATTTAACCAATACATAGAAAGTAAACGACATGTATGACAAAACGGAATAGTACCTTAAACAGCAAATCACGCTACTATTTATAACTTTGACGTTTACTTTGGCAGGCTCCGAGCTTTATGTATAAAACATATTGTAAAAATATCGTATCTATATTATATATAGTTTTAATTTTTTTTTCCTTTATAAAAAATGAGAGACAAAAATTATATTTAAAATTATTTGAAAATAGTTGTCTTTAAAATACAATATATTACCAAGGTAATATTTAAAATATGGATTATAATTATATAAGTAAATAGTATAGAAAATATAAGTCTTATAAGCATTTACATTAAAAACTTTTTTTTTATTCACATATTAACAAATATAATTAGTTTTTATAATGCAGAAAATAATAATAAAATAAACAATGTATAAGATAAAATAGGTTAAATATACTTACATATTATATAGTATGGAGTATATAAAATAAATATAATAATAATAAAAGGATAAATCAGTTCAATTTTTGACCCCGACGTGATTTGAACACGCAACCTTCTGATCTGGAGTCAGACGCGCTACCGTTGCGCCACGGAGTCGATGACTTAACTGTCTAATAATATGTACATTACCGTATTTACACATTTTCACCGACTTATCACAAGGAAGTAATTATTAGTTATTTGTTATATATATTTATTTTATGTGTATGTTATGTCCAATAGTGAACTGAGTTTTATAATATATATTTTTTTTAAATAAACATCTTAAAAGGTATTGGACGGCTATATAAGCTTTATTTTTAATAAAAATTTTACGTGTAATGGTCGAGAGACTTTATAATAATAATACTAATAATAATTTTCATGGCGATACTTTTTTTTGTTAAAAAATATTATGTCAATTATGGTTAAATTACATATAGGATTTTGTATTTAAATTGTATAGATACATATTAATATTAGAATAAATTTGACTTATTATTTAGTATTAGGTGATCGAATCTGTTTTCCTTTTTGTTAACAAAAATATTCTTCTATACACAGCTGGTGTTATGTAGAGCGCTATACCCACAAGTGGCTGTAGCGGATGAATTCAATCATTGCAAGGTGATTACTTATTGTTATTGTATATGGGACGTTCTTATTTTTCACCGACAATGACACGTCTCCTCCGAGAAAAAAAAAACATTATTGTTCCAAAATATTCAGTTACGCAATTTTTTTCCCACTAAAGTTCTTTTGACAATACAACCATTAAAATAATCTTAAACTTCCGCTTTTGTTATTACTGCTTTTCACAAAATGATTGTGACATATTATTCAAAACTTGTGACGGAGGTGTTTTAAATTGTGCTCCTATGTACTGGGCAATGTTACAAAATGCTATCGCGCAATAAAATCATACAGCATCGTTTAATATGACAGCATTTATTGAACTTCTGATATATTGTTATTAAATTAAAAGGAAAAAAATAAATACAAGGGCTTGTATTATTAAATTAAAAAAAAAATATTTTACTGGCTGTCTTCCACTGTATACGATCTTTGTTACTCTCTTCTGTCATGCATTTTACCAAAAAAAAAAAAATGTGCGTGGCTATTTTGATATTTAACGCTAAGAAACAATACGGTTCCCTCTTCGTATTGGTACCCACGTCACGCGCCCCTACGCCCTGGCGAGCCAAGTCAGGCGACCGTTCTGTCACGTAAGTTACTACTTTAAAATATTGTAATTTCTGTTTTTTAACACTATTTTATTGTTTTCTGGTAATTCTGTTTTATACACCCAGTTTTATGAATAATTCATAATTAGATGAATGCTGGGAACCCTGACCGCTGTTATTTAAACCTCTGTCACTAAAACTGTGACAGAGTGGTACAACTCGTGACGGAGTAGTAATTTTGGTATGGAATTTAAAGCTTTGATTGATTTTCACAATAGTTAATTATTATGTTTTATGTGTTAGTCAATTACATCATGAATTTTTTTTATTCATTTAAAGTATTTCCGTCAGGTGGATGTTGAAATGCCACTAGATGACACTAAAATAAGATAAAGTACCCTGCAAAAGTTCCAGACGTGAAACGTAAGGGTTTGGAAAAGCTTGTTAAGGATATGACAGCAAGAGAACATAAAGAAATGAAAATAAAATGGCAAGTTAGAAATATGAAGAGAAAAGAACCAAAGACTGCTTTGCAGAACGTTTAAACGAACACTGCGGTTTCTACATCTCCTTTTTTAGTAAAAGTTTCTTATTGAAAAAAAAGTCGAATAAAAATACTTTAGGAGTTGCAAAAAGTGGTGTGGATGAAGATGGAGATATTCGGGTGATGTTTTATAAGACTGTTGGTGACACTTAGAAATTATTTATATTAATGGAATCAGATATCATATGTGATGTTGAAAATTTGTTGAAAAAAGTTCCAACTCCTAAGGAAGTCAAAAGAGTTTAGCGTGCTTATTACGAATTTGATCAACCAATAGAAGAATTTGAAAAGTAAATTAAGCAAAAAGAGATTAGACCGACTTTGTAACTACCAAAAAATGGTTTTACCAACAATTATAAGACTTAAAAAATCATTTTAAGAGATATATTATGTTTTGTTATCATTACCCAAAGTTTAAAAATGTTAAAAGCTTAAGTTTGTACGTGGCTTAATTAGTATTTACTACTCTATCACTTTATCAACCGACTTCAAAAAGGAGGAGGTTCTCAATTCGACTGTATGTTTTTTTTTTTTTTTTTATGTTTGTTACCTCAGAACTCCGTCATTTATTAACCGATTTGGACAATTTTTATTTCGTTTGAAAGGGTATACTTCCAGATTGGTCCCATTTAAATTTCAAAAAAAAGTACCACCCCTAAGGGTGGAAAAACAACTAATGATGAATTTAACCTACTTCTAATTGTCATATTGACTTGAAACTTTGCAAGTATTTCTATTTCCGTTGATAGTACAGTGGTTCGGTGTTGTTGACCTGATCTGATGGCAAGGCCAGAAGGTGGATAGGTGGAACTCTTCAACGGCTAATAGTAGATACTTTGAGTTTGGGCTTATTTTGTTTGATTTGACAAGCCTAACACGTTAGAATCCTTACTTTGCTACTACTGTCTACACTAAAAAGGGAAAGTAAAAACGTTTTAACAAAAAAATAAAAACCGACTTCAAACAAAAGCACTAAAAAGTAAAAAATAACTGATTGGTAGTTTTCATTTACTATACATACCTAATTAAATATTTTCGAAGTCGGTGTGCTTTGGCTAAGTAATTGAAGCCTACCTATTAAATACATGCCTATTCAAATATTTTCGAAATCGGTGCCAGCCCATTCCCAGGTCCCAGGCAAAGCACACCGACTTCGAAAATATTTAATTAGGTATGTATAGTAAATGAAAACTACCAATCAGTTATTTTTTACTTTTTAGTGCTTTTGTTTGAAGTCGGTTTTTATTTTTTTGTTAAAAAGTTTTTATTAACTACTCTGTCAAAAATGGCCCACTTAAAACTAAACGCCAAAGGTGCTTATGATTCAGTTTATTTGAAATATTTACTAAAACAACCTATTCCATAACCAACACTGAACTAAAAAATTGTTAACCAGATTTCCAACATGATTTATTTTAAAACTTGTCCAATATTTTGAACATTATTGTCTGAACAAGCAAATATGTGACAGAGTGGTATTAAATAAAAGTTTAAAAATTTTCATAATAAAAATTTCGTCATATCAAGCTAGATGATAATAAATATTTGTGTTCTAGTTAAGCAAAGTAATTAAAAAATAAAGATCTGATTTTTCAAAAGCACAAATTAAAAAGATGTTTGTGGCTGAATTTATTTTTTGTACCACTCCGACAAAACTTGAAATTGAAAGAAAATTTCAAGTAATACTTCGATGCTTTATATGTTTCTGAAATCTGCAATAACCGGAATATAATATCAGACTCATTTTATAATAGAAAAGACACTTTTTTTGAAAAATGTAAAATTTTATCGCTCCAATTATCGGTTGAAAAGAAGAACGTCCCATATATCAAAATTCAATTCAATTTTAATATAAAATAATCTCTTATTATACTAGAATATATTATAATATGTAAAAAAGGGAGTGAATCCTTTGTAAATTTTGGATCTACAACAAAAGACAATGCAATGGCATACACACATTTGAAATATTAGAAAATAAGTTGTTAGTAAATTCTAGTTGAAAATCAAAATCTATTTTATTTAAACGAGACTTTTGAAATGTCAATGTTTACATTTTTTTTTATTATTATTTTTTGTTTTTTTTTTGTAATGATTTATTACTAGATTGTCATATAAAAATAATACGTATGCCTAGTATTTTATAATAATTTATATCTAAATAATAAGTATTTTTAAAACATTTCAGTCAGTTTCCGATCAATTATATCATACTTGGAGCAAACCGTTCGTGTTTCTTCATCCCACGTCGTATTTCGGCAAAAACTCCAAGCTGCTGCAGTTACATGAAAACGACATACAGACAGACATGCCCTTGGGATATAAGAGCAAGTTGCCGTTGTCGTCGAAACATCAGATATTGTGTTATTTGTGAGTATTTGTTCTTATATTAAATATGGCAGTACCCGCGACTTGGTCCACGTTCAAACTTCCGATCCCTACCAAACTGATAATCTGAAGATTGCCTGAAAATTTCATCAAAATCGCTCCAGTCGTTTTGGAGTCCACAGGGAGCATACATACACACATCGATTTTAAGATAGATGTGCAAACAGCGCTATCTAGTATCGCATTTACAGCAGTAACATAATTATTATTATTGCACAAAAAGCCTGTCGCCATTTTCATAATTCCATAGACCATAGATAGATAATAAAATAAATTTTAATAGTTCTTTTCTTATTTTTTTACAGATCTCTGTTAGAAACAACGAAGCCGTACATAGTAAATTCAATGAGAATGCCGGCAGCCCAGACGTTGCTACTTCTAGCACATTCTATAGATACTAATATTGGATTCACTAGGTGATTTATACAAATAAATATATTTTATTTGAATAGTAGTAAAAGCTATGTCTTTCTATATCTCAACATATCTTCATACCAAATTTCATCCAAATCGGTTCAGCGGATTTTAGTTTGTCCATTACAAATAAATAATGTTAAATAAAGATTAACAAACATACAAACAAACATAAAAATAAAGAGAACTTTATAAAATTATAGTAAGTATAGAAAATAACTCTAAATTTATATTATATATCAAATTATTTATTAATAATTCTTTTGTTATATGTTATCTATTTACTAATCTTCTTCTTACAGATTAGTATGCGATTCGTGGCTGTTACTAGAATTTCCGTATCCTGAAAGCGGATTGAACCTACTAATGAAGGCCACTAAATTGCGTCAGCGATGGGATGCACTCATCAATAGAAGACTGGCGGGTGAAATATTATATTTTTATTTTTTTTCCATAACTTCTATACTTCAAAAGAGTTTTTTTTTCATTTTTTCGTCCAACTATCTTGAATAGCGCCATCTATTGATAGGTTTAAGACTAAAATATTGTTAAAATAAATTAATTCAAATCCTTATATAAGTTTCATCTTAAGATAACTTCTTTAAAATATATACATAAAAATATATCTTAGTAACTAAAGTAAATTAAAATAAACAACTTTTCATATTTTTGAAGTTTATACTTCTTTTGGCACGTTTGTAAAAAAATGTGAGAGTAAAATTTTTACGATGCGCGCCCACACCGACAGCCAAAAAGCGACATGATGAAGCTAGCTGCATTCCTTTTACAAACAGAGAGTTGTGACATACGGGATGAAATCTTTAGCTATTTTTGATCTGTTACGCCAAAGAAGTATAACTTCTTACGTGCGTACATAAGTACACACATACGATATTTTTGTGTTATTTTGAGCTTTTGATTTTTTATATTAACTATTTTTTTCTATCAATATTTAAAGATGCAAGCCCAAATAAATCAGTTGAGACGGAACTTCGGAAGACAAACAAACAACCATACGACGAGCTTCAACACGATCTATCGAATGACTTAAGTTCATACATCAATTCTGATGTATGCTATACTATTAAGAGATTATTACCGGGAGATCTTAAAGTACTGTATGTAGGGTCTGATGAAGTACACCCAAATATAGACCCTAATCCCTTTGAAGAAGGCTTAGAATGTCGTGCCCATGAAAAGAAAGGTGGAGTCTATGTCACAGATAATATAGTGTATAATTGGTAAGTATTTTTTCTATAAATATGTAAAATGCCTATACATATCGTCGTCTCAGTGTTTGTCTGTCCAAATGGCCAATTTACTGATTTTTTTTAATATATAATTATTGACTTTTAAATGTTAATTCTATTGGTACCAAATACACATTTCACTTTAATAAATAATGATTTGTTTTTAAAATAGAGGAAAAAATCTGTATACTATAAAGTACAACAAGTATTGACCGTTTGAAAAAATAAACACTCAAGGGACGATTTCTGGGTGTATCGTTAGAATTAATTTTCAAATCTTTGTAGAAATTATAGAACCCATTTCTAAAGCTTTTAAACATTATTTATTTATAAAATAAAAAAAAACTTTTTCTTTAATTCTAGATATTCTATATACTATTCTGTAGAATTATTATATTTTTCACATATGATACGATATTAAATATTCTTCAAGACATTTTTTCATTCTTATTAAGGTATTTATAAATGAATTTACTTTATAAAGTCCATAATAATATATATAGCAATAAATGAATCTAATAGCGTTCTTTTTGTTAGTGTTGTCGATACAGAGTGGAGTTACAATAGCTATCAAGAAGCTTACAATATACCTTGGACATGTGAAAAATGCGAGTTGACTGTCTGTCTGTCACCTTTAGAGAAGTTACAACACAAACAATTCACGTGCTCTTCTAGAAATATCGAGAAGAAGGAAGAAAAAAAGATAATACGCGAAATGAAACCTAATTCTAGAGAGTATAAGTGCGAAATTTGTAATGAAACGTTGTATTTAACGCCAGTTGAAATATTAAAACATAAGAAGGCGTGTACAATAAAATGAATGAAATCATTTTTTTTTATTTCATCCAAATTATTTGCTATTATTTTTTTTTCGATTAAGTTTCGTTTTATCTATAATCTAGTAAACATATATTTTCGTATGAAAGATGTTATATTTTCAATATAAATACTTTCTTAGATTTACGCGAATATTCGACATTTTTAAATAAAACCATAAGTCATTTTTGGTTCCCGACGTTTGGAATGGTTTACAGCAATCATGGTCACGGGAGAGACTATGGGTTTTAGATGTCTCGAAAAAATATAGCTTTTACTGACAGTGCTACCAAAAAAAAAGTTTTGTATTAGTTGAAATCACCATTTGTGTTAAGATGGTGAAAGTATTACTTTTATAGGGCATGAAATTTATTTAGCTTAATTTTATCCTATTCCAATACATCCGCGATGGAATATTAAGATAAGCGATATAGGGAATGACATAAATTAATAAAAATTAAATATTATCTACAATTATAGTGATAATTTGGAACTATTACTATACGTATTAGAAATAATACCTTAGATGCAGTTACGTTAGAACGATGACTAAGTCGAGGGTGCTGCTCCCACCCTCCGACACCGAGACGTGCCGTAGGGCAATCGCCGTCGGGGTTCGCGGATGATTTTGGTTCCCGTGGCCCCGACCTGGAGGCGACAAAGGTGGACACCATCAGGTTTTAGTGGGTAGGCTGCCGCGCGTTTACCATTGTTGCGCGGTGGGAGCCCCACATAACCCGTCGTTCTTCCCCAGGCGGCGGGTACCCGGCAACAGGGTTTCCTGACGAAAAAAAAAAAAAAAAAAGAACGATGACTAAAAATGCTAAACTTGATTTAGTTATAAATTACATTTCTTACAATTTGCTTATATTTCGCAATATGTACGATACATAATAAAAATTTCTATGAAAAAACAATAATCTAGTCACGTTGTGAAAAAAAAGACCACGTTTACACTTTCACATTAATAATAGGTGCTACATCTAATAAGGATTTAAAATTCTGTTCTCACAAAATCAAAACGGGTCACAACGGTACAAGTTATTAAGCTAATAAAATTGCATGGAAATAATCTTTTGTATCTATTTCCGAAGACACTTTGCAACGAGTTGAACAACGCTTCTGAACGAGACGAGTCACGAACTGGCCATTGCGCTGATAAAATTAAAAATAAAAGATATTAACTATTAACTAATACTAGTATGGTTCTGTAGTAATATTATTCTATACTAGGGGCTCACCCAAGCTTCGCTCGGGTTCGTCTCTAGAAAAACAAAAACAAATCTATCCCTCGGGAACCGTATATTTTTCCGGGATAAATAGTAGCTTATGTGTTATTCCAGACTATAATTTATCCAAATTTTATCCAGATCCGTTCAGCCGCTCTGACGTGAAAGAGTAACCAACATCCATACTCACAAACTTTCACATTTATAATATTAGTACGGATAATTAATAATATGGATAATACGGATGATATGTTAATATCCTGGCTAGAATATTTGAAAGCAATCCTTATATTAATCAGAGTTTGTAGAACTTTATTATTTCCTATGAGTCTTTTTTTCTTGGCATTAAACAGCATAATATGTAACATCCGACTAAATTTTTTGACAGCCACATAAAGTTTCGTCAAAATCGGTCCAGCTTTTTTAGATATTATCTTAGAGAAAGTGACAGACAAAAATTCTTAGTTATTAGGATTTACTATTCTACAAATATGATACCTTGTTAAGGAGCAGTTATTTTGAAATCACGTCATATGACAGATATTTTAATTATATATTTTTTATATCTATAATCTAGTGAATTTTTAAAGTGACCTTGCTCAACATCAAACGGAATCCTGTAAAAGGGCGTGTATCCAAGAAGATGGCGTGAAGGATCGTGCTGATTGTCCGCAGTCGCCTGAGCAACAAGTAAACAATGTTTTATTATTTGAAACCAATCGTGATTGCGTGGTTTGAACTGATATAATGTTATAGTAAAACCGCCCGCGACGTTACCGTATACCAGGCATGGTGGGTTAGACTTGGAGCTTAGACAAGATGTCAATCTACAATAGATAAATAATAGAATTTTTGAAAATGTATGTATGGTGAGGTTTCATGTTTATATAAAAACATTTTTGTTTAAAATAAAAAAATATATATTTGACTAATTTGTATAAGGCATTTGTTTATGCGATCTTGGCCGATAACAATGTATTAAAAAAGTAAAAGTTTTGCCGCGTTTTTGGAAATAAACAGATTTTGGCGGTATCACCTTGTAATTATTCGTCATGTCATAAAAATACTATAGGTAGGTACTTACTGCAGTTGTAGTATCTAGTAATGAATATGTTTCCACCCCACGTACGTTCACATTGTAGTGGTGGGAGAGAGGTTCATTAGCGGTCGGCAATCTAGCCGGTCGCGAAGCTAAGAAACGCAGGAGGCGGCCAACCTCGGTGGGTGGTGTGCCATGCCGGTTGCTCCTGGTTCTTCTCTGATAGCAGAGTGGACCGCGGGAGAATAAAAATACCATAAAGGTTAATACTTTATTACATTTACGCGAATATTTGACATTTTAAATAAAACTATCTATTTGGATTATTTCGCGGATTTATTTTGATTTTAGGTTGCCAAGGAATTATAAAGCTTATTACAGGAAGTGTTATCAAGCCTTTACGCATAATATACACTAAAAAATAACTCACATATTAAGCCTAGCTATGCGATTCAGTAAATAATTGGTCGCATTTCTTATGAAGCATCCTTTTATCATAGTTTCAAAAGCAATTTCGTTATTAAAAGACAAAGCGTAAGTTAATAAGTCCCGTTGGTACGTTGGTACGTCGGTATATTCGTTATTATGGTGCATCGTGACCCGCCTGCCGGCTGCCGATCCCGGATTGCGATGCCCTTTTTAATTCGCACAATAACGCACCGTGCGTTGCCGATGCGACGTGTTTATACGAGGTGATTTTTTATTTAATCATTTATTTCAGGCAATATTTACAAAAGGATCTTAAATATGTAAACAGAGGCCCATAGCATAGGTGTATACCTTGAAACTAACATATATATTATTTATAAAACTTAAAAACTATTTAACACGTAGTGCAACAAGTGCAAGTTTTAAAACTTACATTTTTTATGAGAAATTTTATATGAAGAGTGTATGTAATGCTTGATAATGTTTATGTAGGTAATATTTAATTGCATCATTAATCACTCGTTTTCGATCGATCGATTCGATCGAACTGCAATTCTTTCGCTCTTTAGACTTTATAAGAATAGTAGTGTAGCATTATCTTGATCTATGTCTATACAAAAAGTCCTTCGAGCCTTTCTTGCCTCTAAGAAAATGAAACTGAGTCATATATATTATTTTCACATTATAATTGAGAAAATATATTCGTTAGTTTCTTTATTGTTAAGGAGAGTTATTGTATGTGGGTTAAGTCTCGGGTTTTATTCCCAGATAAGACAAATGAAGCCTTATAGAGTTGCAAACATCAGTACCGACCTAAACCGGCGTTGGCTACGTATACTTATACAAAGTCACTAAAAATATACTATATTTGTTTATTTGTGATTTAAAATTAAATTTAAGTTAGGTTATAGTTGAAGTGAAAATAAATGTTACCCAGATTTTTTAACCAAACCATATCAAAATTTGCAAACTATTTCGGTTAGTTACCTAAATTATTGTTTTTCATATAATTGGTTACTATCATAAACTAGCGATTCACCCACGCTTCGCTCGAGTTCGTCCTAGCCTAATCTTTACTAGTGTCTAACATTAGCCTATCTGTGTAACTACTAAACTTCATCTAAATCGTTACAGCCGTTTCAGTGTGGAACCAATAAATACATACATATAAACTTTTGCTTAGTCAATAGTAGTCCGATGAATAACTAAAAGCAATGATCTCGAAGGAATGACATAGTGTGTGTGACGCACTCGCGTCCAGCAGTCGTAAGAGATGCGATGCGCCCCGCCCTCACTCAGCCTGACATTAGAGGACCATTCGTCGTGTACATATTCTGTACCGATGCCATGCTCTTTTTACTCTGAGCTTTATTAAACGCACGCGATGTTCGACGATGGGAATTTTAATTTATGTGTGGGAATGTAGATAAATTGTAACGATTTTAAACTACGTGTTCGTTAGACAATATAAATAATGTTTTGTTCAAGAAAACAACGTCCTATTAAGTTTTTTAATATAATGGATACCGTCAGATTTGTGGGTACTTATCTCTTATAAATATATTATTCATATTATCTGTGCTATAGCTTTTCTTTAAGAATTAGAAATGTAATTGGTAGAATTAAATTAGAACTAGGTAGCGTTTATCTATCAATATTTTATTTATTTCGTACATAATACAATTTTTATGGTGTACATAACTTCTTGGGAATGATAATTATTGGGAGAGATCTCGCTACACTGCACTGATTCACAAATTATAGCTATCGATTAACGACCTCACGTCACGTCACTGTGGTTGCGATGAAACGTGAGCCCTCTGTTAGACAATTGCTAAGTATAAATATAGGCCACTATATAATTCATAGGAGAAACACTTAAATGCTTTTTCAGTGAAACATAATTGCAGATGATAGACTGCCTAATAAAAAATGTGTTTCTTTTTTAATGTAAGAACGTGGTTATGTACATACAAAAGTAAGGGAGCTTTACGATATAAAGAAAAATCTAAATATCTTATAACAATATGAAGCTAAAATATATAGTACCTTAGAAGTCGATATTAAATAAATTATTTGTTCCAAATTCTTAAGTAGGTACCTACATATATAATAACTAGCGGACCCGACAGACGCTGTCCTGTCTACACGTCTTTAATATGAAAATTTCAAACTTTTTTTAATAATTTTTTTGATGAAAATTATTATTCAAATTGTGAATATAAACCATTCCCAGATCCCCTTGAACACACACAAAAAATTTCATCAAAATCGGTCCAGTCGTTTGAGAGAAGTTCAGTGACA